ATATTATGTCCAATTAGGCGAGATAATTATGATTTGTTACAAAATACAATTTATCATTGAAAAAGCCGCAAGATTAGTAATGAAAAAACAAATCTAACCAATATTTTGCATCTTTCTTTTTGCTGCATTTCTGTTCTATTCGTATACAGCTTACTGAGGAATCTTCGGAAAGTTCTGATGGAGTCAGCGCCGGATTCGGCAATCTCAACACATGGGCCCGAATTCACAAAGCAAGGTTTGAGCTCAGACCTTGCTTTGTGAATTCGGGCCATGAAGTGGAGAGGCCACAAAGCAGGAGTCATGGGACAAGGAGTTGGACGGGGAAGGGTAAGTGGAGCCCGTGGAGAGGAAGAGCAGGAACAAGTGAAGTAGGAACAGGAGCAGGAAGAGGAGCAGTAACAGGTATAGGTATAGGACGAGGAAGAGGAAGCAGCGTCATCTTCAGAGGGACAGGCAGGGTCGATACAAGTCAAGGTGTTCTAGAACTAGAAGGCCAAGGAACAGAAAGCCACGAAGTAGACATCGAAGGAACTGGCGAAGGAGGTCGTCGGGGAAGAGGCATGAGGAGAGGAAGAGGTGCAATAGAGAGACAACAGGTCGAGGTTGCATGCATAGAAGACTTGCACAAAGATAGAAGAGACAGACGTACAGATGTATGGACGGACAACCCGAAAACATGTCTCCGGCTACTTTGTAAATATACACTGTAAATATGAGGCAATGTGAACATATATATATATATATGTGGCTGATGTCAGAACTTGACAGCCATGCATATGCAGAGGAGGTGAAAAGGACAAATAGGATGGTAGACAAGATCCACAGCAAGACAGAGGAAGAAGATGTGAAAAGAATACGAACGGAATTCCCCGAAGGTACCATCATAGTAGTGGTGGCAACAGTGGCCTTTGGCCTAGGTATACAGGTTCACGGCGTTGATGTTGTCGTGAACTGGGGAGTAGAATCAATGCTTGCTTACTGGCAAGAAGTGGGCAGATGCGGTCGCGATGGCCATCAAGGTTATTCACTGATGTACACATATCCTAGATCAATTAATGACTGTAGTGACGAGACAGTAAAAAGGATCTGCCCTCTCGAGACATCTCCAGCAGCACTGGTGAGAGGTGGAGGAGGGGGACCAGCTCTAGCAGATCGTCAAGCCCAAGCGGGAGCTCCAGCGGCTCAACCCAACCTCCAACAGCCCGTTGCTAGGCAGAACCAATACCCCAGTGACAGCGAAAGGGCGACATCCGTCCACCGCTCAATCAGGAAGATGATAGCTGTCGATTTGAGGCCGTATTCTGTTGTGGAGAATGACGGCTTCAGAGGGCTTCTCACAACGATGGATCCGAGGTATAAAATCCCATCAAGATGTTTTTTTTCGGAACAGGTGATACCCGACAAGTACTCTGAAGTGAAGGAGGCTCTGAAAGCCAAACTTTCAAAAGCTCTTCACGGCATTAGTTTCACCACCGACATGTAGAGGTCCCAACAGAACAAAGAGTACATGGTGGTGACTTTCCACTGGGCAACTCTCAAGGATGAAATGGTAAGTAATAATTTCATCTTCGGGATCTCCCCCTTTTCGTTCATTACGTTCGTCATTCAACTTGTAGTCTTGGATCTTATTCGGTTATTTCATTACATTATATATCGTGTTATATCATTCTGATTGCAGTGTAAAATAGTTCAAAAATGATTTAAGCCTGGCCAAATAATATCAAAAATTCTAAATGCGTTTTTTTTTCCTCATTCGATTTCTTGTATAAAAAGAGAACATGCTTCTCTTTGCTACAAGCGACAATGGAGCCAACATCCGTCGGTCCCTGATCATCTTCACGACAGAAAAAAACTATAAGGGGGTGGGTGCCGTGCATCGCCCACTGTCTGAACCTGACGACAAAGCAAGGTATGGACACCCAACGCTTTGTGAGAGACCCAATTTCGGTTTTGCGTACATTGGTTTCCAAGATCAACAACTCGCTGCCGGTCAAGCGGAGTTTTGATCAAATTAACAAGAGATGTTGAAACAAGATGGAATTCAACTCTGGGCATGTTGGAGAGCATCATTCGACAAAGGGATGCCGTAGAAGCTCTCAGGGATGAGGTATTTCGAACCAAAATCAAGGAGGCCATTTATACATCAGTTCTTGGGCTTTCTGAGACGGAGACGATGGATGATGAAGATGTCATCTCAGTAGACTCTGGCCCAGACTCTCCAGCACGAGACCAACAGACAGCAGCTGGCCAAGCTTGATGTCAGCAATGGAGGCTGCCATGATGGAGTCCACCTCATCCAGCTCCGAAAACAAAGGACCTGCCTCTGCAAGATCGAGCGAAATTCGCAAGTCAATTGTCCACGAATTGGAGGTCTATCTCCAACAACCAGTTTTAAAACTTCAGGGCAACGTGATAGAATACTGGAGCCGCCGAGAGACCCGAGGGCAAGGTGCATTTGCAGAGGAATTGGAGTCTCCAACAATATGAGGACTATGTCATATCAACCTATTCAAACCAACCTCTTGCAAGAACTGGATTCAGAATTGCCTGTTGTAGCAAAAGTAAGAGGCTGACCATTTTGGCGAATATAACCACAGTCTTGGACATTGATAAGAAGGTCGGACGTGGGCAGATTCAGATTATACCCAACAGCCATGCCATCGGGATATGCAAAAGCATCGTTGCCGGTTGTTCTCATAGCTGGAATCAACAGTAGGAACTTATGTAGATTATTTAGTACGAAAGTGCTCCGATTTCAAGTGGGAAGTGCCGGTTGAGAAAGAGATGAACAGTAGGTTCATAAATAAAATTTCTTGGCGCAAAGTGAGGGTCAAAGCCTAGATCTTCTAAACTGTCCACCACAAGAACGACTAAAAAAGGATTTTGCATCATATTGTATTACAACTTTGGGAAGGAGCTTATGTAGATTATGTAGTACAACAGTCCTCCAATTTCAAGTGGGAAGTGCCGGTTGAGAAAGGTATGAACAGTAGGTTCACCAATTAAATTTCAGCCACAAAGTGAGGGTCAAAGCCTAGATCTTCTAAACTGTCCACAAGAAGGACTGAAGAAGGATTTTGCATCATATTGTATAACAACTTTGGGAAGGAGCTTATGTAGAATATGTAGTACAAAGGTCCTCCAATTTCAAGTGGAAAGTGCCGGTCGAGAAAGAGATGAACAATAGCTTCACACATGAAGCTTGTTGGTGGGGTGGTGAATTTCTGCAAACCGCGGCATTTCGACCAGGCACTCTGACTTATTCCAGTTCTCTTCCTTTTTCATATAGCCGTCGGGGTTCATCTTAAGTATGTCTCCATGCTCACGGATGACGGCTGGGATAAGTTGAAGTGTCTCTTTGCATGTCCCAGGGTTACTGCGGTTAGTGAGCAAGGCATAGATTACTTTTGTGTCCCCCAGGCCGAGTGGCCCAGGCAGTGGGATTTTGTAAGAAGGGTTCTGGGTTTAGGTTGCCGCAATATGGTACTGGTTCTACACCTACGACCGGCCCAGGGCGATCCGTGTGGCCATCACCTGCACGGAGAGTTCAGGGACCTTCTGAGGCAGTTTTGTGGGCATCAAGAGCACATCCACATCCACAATTTCACTGGTGATGCCCAAGAACTGGATGCATGGATGGTTGCCTTCCAGAATGTGTACGACGGAGTGTCGGGCCTAGCCCTTTCATTTAATCCGGCCCAAGTGGACATGGTCCGAAGTATTCCCTCCCCCTGGCTCCTCTTGGAGACTGATTCCCCGTACTTGCCCATGTTCCCGGGTGCGTCGGTCAACACCCCCTACTTGTTAGAGGATGTTGGCCGACTGGTATCCCAAATTTGGGGGCAGCATTTCAGGGCGGTGATGAAGGTCTCCACAGAGAATGCCCAGAGACTATACTCTGGGTTTGCGTGCCTAGTTATGCCTTGATTTCCTAATGCCTTTAATGCCCCGGTTAATCCCTTACCCCCATGCCAAGACGTTTTGCAATTTTTCATCAATGTGTTTACCCAAATGTAATATTTCACTCTGTGATTGAGAGAATTATTTAAAGATAGATCTGGGAAATATCCTGTGTATAACACCTAATTTCTCCACATATAGTTCCTAATAAGTTAAATGTTATATATGGCATTCCCTGTGGAGCATTGTGTAATTATACACAGCTGAGTTTTCCTTTTTTGGGATCTTGTATATAAGTCATGAAGAGGAATGGCAAAATAATGGTTGTTTACATTCAAATCTGAATAAAACATGAGGGAGGCAGAGGAGGTGACGAGGAAATGGGTGGATATCAAAGCAGAGGACCCTGAAGTACAAGTCCTAGTGGAATGCAACAGGTAATGTATGCCAAGATCATAATAATAGAAATATTTATGTTGAAATGATGATAGTGAATGTATTGATGATTATTTAAGCACTGGGTCCCAAGTGACATGCATATCTGCTGATTTTGATCACAAGAAGTTAGCGCATTGTCACTTGGAACCCGTTGACGACCTGTTCGTGGTTGGTGCAGGTGGAAGCAAAGTTCCATACATTGGATACATCGAGGCCCATCTGCACTTTCACACTGACACTTAGGCTTGCGTTAAGTCAGAAACGACAACGCTGGCACCGATTATTTTTATTTTACAAGTTTTATTCAACAAGTGAGCACCAAACCTATGAAATCCTTGAACTGCCACCACCTTTCAGGGTGAAGGTCATTCTACCTAAGAATGAAGTGGTAGAAAGAATCCTTTGGCAGCTCTCTGGAAAGGGAGTGTCGTCTGATAGTTGGATGCAGTGTTTGACTGAAGAGGTGCACCCAATATTGAGGTTATCTACAGAGAATACATCTTGCCATCTTGGTAAGAAAGTAGGAGATTGGTCAATCTCTCTCTGTCCTCTGAAGTCTGCGGAAATGTATTATTGTATTGACTTGTAATTAAGGATGGCGGGACGCCATGATTCTAGGAAGGGAGAGTGTCAGACCCTGTGTTTTAACAAAGTATTTTCTATTTTTGAGTAAGCCTATATTACTTTAAATTGTTGAACCCCTCTTTGAATTGTCACTTTAAATCATGCGTATGTTTAGCCCACCTCTCTGGTATATGCCACTGGTGAAACAAAGACAGGAACAAAGAGACCCCTGTTCTATAGAACTTGCTTATGTCTTAAACCCAGACCCCTCCTTAATTTGGAGAATACATAGATCATGAATGACCAGTGGGTACATTTACTGGTACTCCTTTGTCATGGGGAAGGGAATGGTGGGTTTGTTTACCTGGTTTGGGAAGAAGATTGGTTCTCCCTTTGAGAGCAAGTTTCGACTTCAAGGCAGATAGACATGTAATGTAACTTCCCCCAGAAGTTAACTATGTTGCAGCTTTCTAAGACCTGCCTTGATTTTGTATCTTAACAGAGTTCCACCATGGTTCCACTTCAATTTCCCTCGGGACAAGAGTTGGGACTGCTGTCAGTTGTTCAGGCAACGCCCTCTGCCTGGTCAAATGTATTTAGTACTTATTGAAGGACGGCTCATGTTTTATCATTTGTACTTTATATGAACATCTACCGGTATTCTTTTCTTCTATTCCTTGATATTTTTCTACCGTACAGTGTAGTTTACTTTGCTTCTTCTCTATCATTTATTGTATACCTGTACAACACATTGTAAAGCTTTGCATGTAAGCTATTTTGTAAGAATTTTTTGTTTGAAATCGAAAATGCCAATTGTCACACTGGAAATTTATTATCGGTGTACCTTTGACACTGAATACTAATAAATACCTCTTTGGAATCATTGGCACAAAATATATGTCTCAGACTTATGTATTTTAATGCATCTCCGTATTTACTAATCTTTAATTAATTGAACCGGCGCAGGCATAGAAGGTCTGTGTAACACAAGTCTTATGGGGTGTTGCAAGAAAATTGCCATTAATTGCAAATCTCCAAAATCAAGCGTAAGTCTTGCGATAAGTTTTTACATTTGCAATTGATAGCAAATTATGATCAATCCGGTTGCAAGAGAGAGTTGCGCTCGATATCAAGCTGTTATTAAGTGCAACAATCTAGCTCAAGTCTTGCAATCAATTGCAAATTTGCAATAAATTTGGGGTATGCGCAAAATTTCTTCAAAAGTCTTCAAAATGGCAGCTGCCAATGAAGATGGTGGGAGGAATGACCCAGACAAAATAGATCCATCTCTTCATCTTTCAGAGAAAAAAAAAGTACAGATTGATCAAGATGACGAGAGGAGAATGTGTGCAATGTTAAATGGTGAAGATCTGGAGAGAAAAACTTCAAGGAGAAAAGCCCTGAGCAAGGCATTGGGAGTGTGTATAGCTTTAAACTTCTTCGCCAAGCGATCAATATTTCACGATAGGGACCACACAACGTGTAGAGGTTGCCACGGTAAGTCGCTACATCGGCTGTGCCCAAAGCAGCAGCTGTGGCTATGTGGCAAACATTCAAATGCACAATATTCTCAAACACTGACCTAAAAGTAGAACTATGCGGAATTCTAGGAAAAAGGGCAATAAGTACAGGAAGTAAAGTTTGTTTAAAAGTCCATTAGCAAATCTTCTATTGAGCAATAGAGGATGGTGCATGTTCCTTTGGGTTCAAAGTTTTCTCTACACACATCTAAAAAATTGCCTTTAAAAGAATGAGCCACTTTATACCCCCCTTCCCCTGGTAAAAAATAATCAAGGATTTGGTAATCAAAACAATGTTAGTCAGTATTGAACACCAAAAAACCTAATCGCTACTGAATGAAGTAATACCTCGAGCGAGTACAAGTTGTCAAGAGCAGGAATGGGTATGCATATGCACATAAGGCAAGGAATAGATCTACAAAGGCATTATAGCAGATAAATATGTGTGTTATGCAAGGCTAATTAACACTTTGATTATCATGATTATCATTATTACTCAATGATGAAAATGATCTTATCTTAGGCTTGCAGGAAGTCAGCCACAGTACATACAAGCCTGAATAATATTACACATTGGTATTGACAAAGAGAAATATTTCAATCCCTATATACAAAAATATAATTCCTGATTCATAGTCCACTGGAATCGAAAGTGCAAAGGTTGGTCACAGAATTGTAATATTTGAATGATGACTACATTGAATCTTAACATAAATTGAATTTGTGAGGAGTTGTGAGATAACGAATATCTCTTGGTCTTACAGACCCTAAAATAATGATGATTAGGACACGATATACTCAGGTTGGCATCAATAGAAAGCGTCCATTAAATGGAAATGACACTGCCCTTAGTTTGTTATCAATGTTAACTAATACTGCACTGATAAACAATATTATAAATACATATGAAGCTAAATCTTTGATAGAAAAATATACCTGGTCAATTCCTTTCAGAATTTGTTGAGGAAGAACCCTCAACACCAGCCCTACCCGAATCTTCCGCTTTCCTCCTCGACTTTGGTAGATTCTGCAGCCCTATCGCGATGCCTATAAACGTCACCACGTGTACGATGAAGTAAGTCGACGCCCAGTACCCAGTCACAGCCTCCCAGCTGAGGAGAAGAAAACCGCAGGCTAGGTAATCAAACGCCCTCATCCGCAGGAACCAGTTGATCCAGTCGAAGGTGATCTTGTTCTGCTCGCTGCGGAAGGCCTTGATGAGGAGGTCTTCGGCCCATAGGACCAGGGGGACGGTGAGGAAGCTCAGGTAGTAACCTGGGTGGATGCCGTGCCAGAATGCACTCACCAGCATGGTAGCAGAGGTGCTGAATAAAGAATTAAAACGTGAGTTGGATGTCTCGCAAATTGTACTGTGATACGGATAGTGGTGTGCTTCGATACTCATTCTGCGGCTGAGGCATGAACAGTCCTCCTTTACTTTATTGCTGCCATGTTTATTTCATGTGCTTGACACTTAATTGAAAATTCACAAGTTGTTTTTGGTTTATATGCTAGTTACATGATAACTCCAAGGTCCAAGGTATATGGCCTACACTGTATGTATTGCTGACCATAAATGTATCTAGGATTTTAGTATATCTGATGTTTATATTTATTGTCAATGTCAGGCCTTTCAAATAAAATGATCCTTTTGATAATACTTGGTAACAGGTGGTACATCACATGGCTGAATACCTCGGACTTGCCCATCTACATCTTAAACAGCTACTTTATGTCTCTGGTTCAATATACATCAAGAACAAATTATTTTTAAAAATCAACATATCTCTGGACATTTTGAGAATATTTCAACAGAGCTAATGCAATTGTAATGTAGATACCTGTATTTCGCTCACACTAGTCAAATCCTTGAATGAAGAATGGGTGACTTTGTCCTAAAAAAACTTAAAGCTAAAGACCAGTATTGGAAACGCCCCAATTTCAAAAAATGAAATGGAAGCTCTTATTACCAATCATGTGAAAGAATATGTTTTGAATATTACATGATAATAAAAATTTTGACGGGAAACCGCCTACTAATTGATATATTTGGTAAATTAGTGTATCTCTCGCCTGTTGAGAGATATGAAATGCACGCGTCCCATATACATCTTTCTGTGTACAGTGCTTCTAACTTTATGAAGACTTGGCCAAATTTCTTATCATTTTGATGATTCCAGAACCTTGCAGTACATCTATGCTAGATGATCAACCTTTTCTGATCGATTTCACAACGTTTCTTTCACAATGCAATCGCATGACCATAACTGGTCTTTAGCTTTAACCCATTGCCTACGGAACTGGGCAGTTCCTGTACTAAACCTAAGAGATTGCGATAAATCAGCAGTCGATCCCTTTAACTCACCTCCATGCTCTGAGGGGACATCGGACATAGATGAAGTTCTTGAGCCACCATTGGACAGACATGTTCCACCATCTCATGCCATCTCGGAATGTTGTCGTTGAGTCGCACATGTAAGCACTGATGTTATGGATCGTCTCGTAGTCATAATCAGAGCGCGCTAGGTCCTGTTCACTGGAGTGAAGTAAGACAATACAACAGGATTTTAACCAGGATTTAGAAATTGAAAAAGAATGTGTCAAAGATAAGGCATCCAATTTAGTAATGCAGATGTTTTTTAAACGTAGGGTATCTCCCACAAGTATATGTTGATCGTTTGCATGCCCTGGTTTACTCCTGGCTCAAAGCGTAGCTAGAAATACAACATCAGTAAAGGAAAACATTTCTTTAAATAAATATTATTTCTAAAATGTTATTCAAAGCAAACATAAATGACATAAGCACAGTAGAATGCTTGACTCATCAACAAGTAACTGCCTATGGGAGACAAGTGGTTACTGTATACAGTCCATGGGATTAAAACCGTTTTGTAGTAAACAGATTTTTTATATAAATAATATATCTGGGGTCCCCCCCCCCCCAAAAAAAAGTCAAATACAATAACCGCAAGAGTCACATTATTAAGGAATGTGACCTAATCCCATATATCTTACAGATAAAGGCCCTTTCCATTTCCATACTTGTTCATACTGAAGACACTTTGTCTTCAGTATGAACCTGAGAAGACATATGAATACAGGTGAACGGGACAACGTCGGACACTTCTGGCAGTTTTAGTTATAAGCTACTGAAATCCTTGCTTCTGATTGGCTATCAGCAAATTTGTCATTGGTTTTTGTCAATTGTCATTGAAAAAAGGCTTTGTGAAACGAGTCCCTGAATCTTCCAAATTACTAAGGTTTCCTGCAGACTTACCTCACTTCTTTGGGATCAATGGTAGGACCCTGCCCACATCTGGTCTTGAGTATCTTAGGGTAGGCTCCCAGAGTAGCACTCATACAAACACACTCAGAGAGAAGCCAGGCAGAGTACATGCGAGTACGGAAGACCACGAAGATGGGCACCATGTAGAATGTCCTGTAAGCAAACACAGCCAAATTAAGACTCAATTTTAACGTATGTAAAATAACATGGAAATCTGAACAATTGTGTGTGAAACAGGACCCCCCCCCCCCAACAAAACAATAAAAGAGAAGAAAAAAAGAATGAGAGGTGGACGAGGGGTTAGACAACTGTTTTTTGTAAATGTTTGGGCAATACAGAATCTGTTACCTAGGCTCATTTGGCACTAGGGACATCTCAGACACAGCAAAAAATTGATGCCATGAGAGCATAAAATTGATCAGATATATTGGGTATATTTTACATTGGAAATGTACAGTGTTTTCTTTTAGAACACCAACTTTCATGATAAGAAGGTGTCATGTAGTATTTAAGAAATAATGTTGGAAACATTTACAGAGGTAAAAGTTCTAAAAAACATGAAATGTAGAACCATTCAGAATTCAGGGACAGAGCATGCACTTCAACTCTTGGAACCTAATCGCTGCATGATACCAAGTCTGCCCTGGGGATATGGAAGCCGGACATCCAAAACCAGACTTCTTGAGCTAGCACAAACAAATGTAACCTTATCTTACCAGCAAAAATGGCCTCTCAAAATCTATGATTCCATGAACTGTAGAAATGTAACCTAATCTTACCAGCAAACATGGTCTCTCGAAAGACTTGATGCATGGCTGATCGTCAACGAAACGGAGTTAAGTCATTTGTCAACTCTGTTTGTTGCTACGGCAGGCAGCCAGTGAAAACTAATTCATTTAATCAAATTATGTAAATGCAAGGATTACTTTTAACAAAAAGAACTTTGTATTCTGGTTTTTTTTTTTCCTGATTGAGGTGTCATATGAAAAGGCAGAAATTGAACTTTCTAGAAATTTTATTTTCTCTTTGAAATTCAGGTACTGCCCACCAAAGGACTTCTTGGTTTCCTCTGTTCAAATTGTTTTTAATCACTCATGCATAAAATATAAATCATATGAGTTGCATCAAATGAAAGAGGAGGATCTAAGCTTTACAAATATATGTCATTTATTAATCATAATTGCGAACATTGATAGTTCTCGGTTTCGTTTGTTCTTGGACGCACTGTACAGGTGGCTTTTTTTATGCACGTTGTCATTAAAGCAAGTTTGACTATACTCTCTTGGTCAAGTCAAAGTATTACCTACATGTAGTAACTTTAATGGTGGATTATTAGCCCTTGAAGTAATGATTTTGCTCACCTGTACCAGTAGCTGTTCTCATAGAATGCATCTTCTTTCATGTACTCCACGGTGTAGAAGTGTGAGGAGACGAGGAAGATCAATCCGACCGGTAGAAGTACCTTGATGCGATCCAGAATGGGTCCAATGCTCGGCAGAGATGCAGAGTTGGGATGGTGGAGCATGTCATAGTAGGTCTTGTACTTGTAGTATGGACCTAGGTGGAATGTTGCATTGGTATAATTTATTTATGTTATGCACATGTTTGGGTATTCATTGCTCTTACACAATGGATTTTCCACAAGGGGAATTTCTACATATTTAAAGTGGGTGGGATGTCAGTTTCCATGTGCAAAAAATGTTCATAATAAGCAAGTTCGTAATTAGGATTTGCGCATGGGCAGATAAAGGTCATTCGTTCCCAAATTGTAAAACCATTGAGAAGAATACTCGAATCGTGCTCATGAAAGTTACGTAATCAGTATTCATTTATGCAACAATACATTTATCTGATACACAGGTGGAAGTATTTTCTCAAGAGGCAAACAAAAGGTATTCATGAAACACCTCCATCACTTCGGTAGTGATTATTCTAAAATGCACAAGTGGGACGTATCCATCGTGTAAAAGATCTGTGGATATTTTGGGGTCATGCGTTCCGAACCTATTTACGAACTGGCTTATTTGCTGACACCAGACTTGGTGGAAATACCATTAATGGGTGTACAAGTCTGCACACAGCAAACCTAGAGTCCTATCAAGAGATACCATGAGATACCATGAGTCTGTAGGAGAGTCTCCGGGTGAGGGAAAAGCAAAGTATTACATGAAGCCTGTTGGGTCATTAAACTGAAGGCTAATAATGATGATTGACAACACCTGTTATTGGGTAAACACCTGAACGATGTTGAATTCCCCATGACAACCCACTTCTCTGCGTTTTTTAACACTCTTTCCAGAGCTCTTTCTGAGGAAAATAGAGTTCATGATTTATTAATGATTTGTGCATAGACCTGCAATATGGAGCCTACATGTTTGTATGTTCTTGCTCTTTTTGTTTCAGCTATCTCAAGGATTTTGTGCGCTCCCTATGCTCGATCTCTACAACTTTCCTTTTCTCTCACTCTCCTTCCCTCCAAACGCAGCCCGCATTTTTGTTCCTTTTTTTTCCCCCCCTTTTTTTTTTCTTCTTTTTTTCTGTTCTTTCTTCGTCATGTAATTTGTTACGTCTTCTTGTTTACAGTCATTACGTGTTTTAATAAATGTTCTCTGTTGGCCACTATTCTTCTTTAATTGATTATGTATTCAATATTTTGTTCACACTCATTATTATCTGAGGGGTCCACAATTTACAAGCTTTGCTTTTCAGTGGACCTCTCCATTTTCTCAAAATATAAATGCAATTAAGTTTTAAAATTCATTTTTTTTGTCTTCCTAAAATGTATAAATTATTATTAAGATTTGTTTATTACCAATGTAACTATGTTTTGTATACATTTTACATTGTATTTGTTATTATGTATTGTATTTTGTTGGAAATGAAAAAATAAAAATGAATGAAAATGAATGAATGTACCAAAGTGAAGTATAAAGTCATTAGATCATAAAATACCACACTTCAATGACCAATAGTGACTTCTGACTCCAGTCATCAACTGGCACACAGGACATAACTTTGTTGAGGTGTTAATTTCAAACAACAACAACAACATAAAACATATAATAACAACGTCAGTACTCATGTTTTGGGAATGAAGATTTCAAATTGAAAGTCAGGTGTCATCCATTATAAAGAAAAAATCATTTGATAGAGCTAATAATCTGTAAAAGGGGTGTATCTCACTGAGCAGCGAATGCTTATGAATGTTGCAAATTTTGGTAGTTGAGGACTATTAGCGACTGTAAGCAAATGTTAGCGACAGTTTGTGCGAAGATTAGCAACTCTTTGCCAGTCCTTTGCCACTATTTGTGACTGTTTGGGACCTTTTACGAGCCCTCGTGAACCCCCAAATTGGCTACATTCGCCGCTCAGTGAGATACCCCCTGAAAGGATTATTTAAAGCCAAAAAAGATATAAAACATAAGCTTATACCTGTCAGGAGTCCAACAAAACAGAAGCAATAGTGGAAGAGTTCCTCGACAGATGGTTCTTCAATGACTGGCACAAATCGTTTGGTCTTCCCTGCCTTTCCCTCCTCTTGTTCCTTGGATGAAGCAGCTTGCTTGATCATGAAGGAGTCTTGGATCTCAAAGGCTACACCAATCAACTAAGGGATCATGCACATGCAAAAAAATGAAATGAAAAAAAAACCATAACTAAATTTTGAGTTTCTAGTTTCTCATCTCCTCCTCCTTCCTTCATTTAGAACTACTGGTACTTCAATTAATTTGATAGTTTTTGTTCTGAAATTATTTTAAATAAATGAAAATATGATGACATCTAGACAGTGAGCTAACAAAAATAATTTATTTCTTCATTCATTTACCTCTGCAGCATTTCAGCACATGAACAGGTGTATTTTTTTCTTTAAAAATGTCTTCTTCAACTTCAAGTTTTAGAAAAAAATACCTTTAGAGTTAGGAGAAGCTGTACAACATTAGAGAATGATGTTGGTTTTTCCAGTCCAAAATATCCTGCTGCCCGGAAGAAAGCCAGATAGGTGAAGGAAAAGATGAAACTCCATTTGTGACATTTCCTAGAAGAAAAAAGAATACAATATTTGGAACTAAAGAAGAAATTGTAGATTTAAAAAAGTATACAATATTTTGAAAGTAAAAAAGAAATTGTAGATTTATCATTTTAATGACATTTCCTATTTCTTTCTCAATATCCCAGTCAATCACATACTGTACAGTATGTAGTGGTACATTTTTTAAGAATTGTATTTCATAATCAATATAGTGATAATCTTTTATGTTTTTAAAATTTTAAATTCTGTATGATGAAATTTGAATATATCATTTCGCACTGAATTCAGTTTCATCATCAGGATTTTTGGTGTTAAGGTGCAACTTCACTCAGCAGTAGGGGTGCTGGTTCGACAATAACGATCGTCTGCATATAAGGACATTTTTTTTCATCGGCGCTCTGCGGGTTTTGGGTTCCTGAACCGCGCCCCTACTGCTCAGTGTTGAGCTACCGATAAGTGATCGGTATCGTCCTTCTAAACTGACCGGTTATCCTATACTTTAGGGTGTTTTTTATTTTCGGTTGCTAACTACAGTCAACAGCTCTACATGGAGTCGGGCTAACTCGGACCAGGGGACAACTCGGCCCAGGTACAAAAACGGTCAGTTTTTGCATGTTTAGGTTTAGGGTTAGGTTTAGGGTTAGGGTTAGGGTTAAGGTTAGGTCAAGTCGCGGAGACAACGTGCACGTTGTCTCCGCGATATTGCCATTGACTACAACGTGTATTCACTTCCGGGTTCTATGGCGGGAACGGCCACCCATACTAGTCAATGGCACATATCGCGGAGACAGCGTGGCTCAAGCTTGCAAGTCGCGCATTGGCTGAGCAACTTGCGTACGATATGCATACGCTTGCATATCGCGCGATACAGCTGTTTGGCTAAATTTAGCAAAACAACATAACTCTGCGTGTACGTCTTTTTCGTCGATTCTGAGCAAAATGCTATGAATATTTCAGCGTTTTGAAGGGGCTGTATCTTTTGATAGAAACATCGGCGAGACTTGAAATTTGAAATGTATGATTCTGATTACATTTTTAATTCAAATATCAAACAAAAATGGTGAAAAACGATCCCAAATTGAAAATTGAAAAATCGTTCAGACACCCTAGTTAGGGTTAGATCTAGAGCTAGGGTAAAATGACTAAAAAATGACCGTTTTTGTTAGCCCGACTCCATGTAGAGCTGTTGACTGAAGTTAGGAACAGAAAATAATAAAACACCCTAAAGTATAGGATAACCAACTGACCACTGCACCGGAGTTGGAGCTCAGTTCAGCAGCCTTACCACGCTCTCAACACCAACACCGAAAACTGAACTTGAACTCACAATGATGCCACATGTCACACACACATTTCTAAATCATAATTTTTAAACCTCTACAATCAATTCATAAACGCATTCTGAATCAGAAAGCAGGCACATATGATTCTACTTGATGCAGTATAATATCATTCATATAAATGTCTTGCATTACCTTGGACCTACTGCTTTGATAATCAGTGCATTCACGACTGTAGCAAAAATGGAATGGTAACTCTGCCCTCTGCACAGAATCAAGACGAGACAGGTGCCCACTGCAGTGCAAATATTTTGCTTGTTTTTTACCCCATTTGTGTGTTTAACGAGATGTCCAAGAGCTATAGATATAAGCAGCATGAGAAGGTAGATGAGTTCGTCTGCCGACATAATGTTAGCTGTTAATATTTATTTGTTTTGAGGAAGATTTTAGAAGGGCATGCCGTTCACTCCGCTGATTCTTCCGGATCTAGGCACAAATCATGCTATGCGCTATACACGTGCGACGCCGCGCTCGGACGAGCTTGACGCTTTTGGAGCAGCCACCCCGCGCGCAGCTCCGAGCTCCCCTGGAGTCCTGGCGGGCTGCGCGTTTCCGTTTTACACCCTGCCCTAGGCTTTTCGGCAAGAAATTACACGAAACATGCTGTATCCGAAGTCTAAGTTTGTTTATATCGACGTCAAGAATAGCGAAGCCAAAGCTTATGTACAATTTCAATTGGGGATGCGAGGGTCTTCTTGTTCAAGACGGTTTTCCCGATATATTATTGTTTTGTTATCGCTGGGCTAAATTTTGCGAGCTGATCACGCATCCTCACGCTCTTAGAGTATTGCGTATTAATGGATAAAAATAAATGATACGACTAGGAAGATCAACTAGTTAGTATAGAGAGTTAGCTAGCGCTACGTGACGTTTTCAGAGTTCTGGTGGTGTGCAGAGCGCCGAGGCAAGATGTGGACGACTAGACTCCGAATACCAGTCGGTTTGTAAAATTTTATTGGAGAAAAGCCTAGGGCAGGGTGTAAAACGGAAACGCGCTGGCGGGCTCAAGATGGGTGGTAGTAGCAGCGGTGATGGCGGTGGGTGGTGGAGGGTAAGCCCCCCCCCCCCCCCCCCCCCCCCCGGTGCAGAGATTACCCCGGAGATTACAGTTTTAGAGAAAGGGGGTGCGTATTTACAAACAAATATTGTGAGGCCAGATCGCAGCCTATCCTCAATTAATCAATTTCTTCACATTAGTTACTCATATAGCAACTCCCCTAAAAAGTTAACTCCGGGAAGCTCCAACACCGGCGCGCGCCGGTGTTGGAGCTTCCCGGAGTTACTAAAAAGTAAACTCTCTTGTAGTTGTATTTTTATCTCAATGATGAGTAGTCAAGTAGACGGTACCATCATGTACATGACCTGGAAAAGTTGATAAGTACAAGGTTTTTTTGTTGATTTGTGTTCTAGATGGGTATTGAAGTAAATTCAGCTTGGCAACCTTGGGCAACTTTTTTTAATAGCCATATTAGCATAATCATCTAATTAGCATTATGTGCAATATATGTAATAATGTTGCTAATCTCAATTCAAGAAGCCTGAAAACATGGCTAACACAACTTTTCAAGGGTTTTCTATGACACAGAATTCATTTATGTCACCAGTTTTTATATTACAAGTAAGCAATTGTCTTAAATAACATAATTTGCATATTATGTACAATATATGGACTTCATTGTCATGGTTTATCTATAAAGCCTAAAAATGCAACTTTGTAAATCATTTTGAAGACTACCGGTAATCATTAATTCACAAGAAGATATTCCATGTATATGTAGTATAATTTTTCCAGGTCTGAAAAACTTCTACAAGACTACAGTTCTCTCTCTCTTTCTGTTTCTTTTTTCGTTTGCTCTCTTCTCACTCTTTAATCCACCATTCCTCTCTATTCTCAAACTCTCTTCTATCTGCAACTCTCTCTCTTTCTTTCTCTCCAAATCTCTTTCCACTGAATCTCTCTGTGTCTTGTCACTTAGTATTTATTTCATTATAATCATTGAGAACAGAAACAAAATGAAGCAATTTTGTATTGATAGGTAAGAATGCATCACTTTATTATTTTCTTTCCAATTTTTTAAGCCATCAATGTATATTTATTGCAAGATTGAGTCCCATACATGCAAAAAGACATCAACTATTTGCAGCTTGAATGCTTAAATTTGAAGTGAGGGTATTGAAATTGTTACCAATTTATAGTGCTTCATTGCTAATGTTTCTAATGGTGTCAATCTTTCTGTCTATCTAAAATACCAATACACCAAGCTCATCATGTGGCAAATGCCGAAATGACCTTCATTAATATTTGTCGGCTGGGTTACCAGGAATGCACCGGATTGTTAAAATATTGAATTTACTATTTTGCCCCAACTGCCCTCAACTCCATTCAAATTAAAAAATGAATGGTAGTCTATGACAATAAAGCCAATTACGCCATAGTGCTAAAACACAAAGATTTTCTTACAGCATGAAATAGAGGAGGGGGTGAAAAACATTAGAAGACATATTCAGTCTTCTGTAAATATTGGGAGTTCTACAGAGTTAAATTTTGACTCATGTGACCTTAACCATCAAGTTGATTTACTACCATTTAAAAACTGCTTAGATTAGAATTTAATTTCCAATATCTAAAACATTATACATGATTTTTAATATATATTCAACGCCTTTTATAATTACAATATGTAGATCTATGTTGTATAAATAATATAAAGAATTTAAACATTTGAGTTAAAGATAATGCTGAACAAAACAAATTACTTTTAGAAACTTAACCACTCAATCAGACAAAATTACATTTACAGAAAAGGAGCCTTGCAGTTGCTGCTCTTTCAAAGACACAAATAAAATAACTCACACTGAAATACATGCATAATAGGAAGTAAAAAGTTACACTTATTCTTGTAGGCACAAGTATCATATTAAGAAACATGGAAACACATCAATTCAGCACCAAGAACATTAAAAACTTGAGTTTCTTTTCATTTTTAAGCTGTACAGTCAAATACATTGCACTCACACACACAATTAAAACCACTGTAACTAATTCAAACACGCAGCGAATTTGGCAAATTTGTGATAAAACCTTTCTGGAAGAAATTTTGCAACTCTGAATAAGACAATCATACATAATTTACATACTCATAATACAAACTATTTTTCCTCAGCTTTCTTGTGATTGGTACGTTATCACATATCACCAAAAACTGGTATGAACTTCAGCAAATCAGTAGAGTTCCAGTAGGAATTGTAGATATAAAGTAAAATAATACATTTTTGGGCAAATTTCAGCCTGAATTATAAAGTCAGGAGTAAAATACATAGTAACATAACTTAATTATTAAAGAAAAGTATTAAAATCATTAAAAAACTGTGAAAACATAAGTACTTCATTGAATAATAATAATGGAATACAATATTATAATAATACAAATCCTCAAATCATTGCCCTATGAAGTACAAACATCAGCTACAACCGACAAGACAGACGGTCTATCAGACTGAGAGCCGACTAGACTGACAGCCCATGTGAACCGACAATTTCTGTCTCAACGACCTTCTGAAATCTAAGTATTCACCGGACCGATATTGTTGGTCTCATGGGATCTCCGGGAACATCATACACATGAAATGTTTTTCAGGTTTCTTGTCGTCTCATGTTTTTATCAAAGTCCACTCAACACATACAGGGCATATCTTTTTTTCTTGTAAAGAAAATATCATGCACAATATATTTCGTTATATTTTTGTTCAATTCATTATGTTAATGCCATTAACCTATAACGGCCATCGATGCAAATCTCTATTTTAAAAAAAAACTGAACATGCATGCATTTCTTCCATTTACAGATGTTGTGAAATAAATTTAAGATAAATGATTAATACATGCATTAAAATACCACCCATTGAGTTTTCCAAACATTTTGTTAGTAATTATAATATACTTGATACAATCAATATATTACGCATTTGAATATATTTGGAGTACCGGTAGCTGCTTTTTATACATGGAATTTGTGGGACTTTTGTATATGTCTGCTATGCAATCATGCAAAAAAAATCTCATCTTCCCTTAAATTAAAATGAAAATAAGCATCAGATAATATAATTCATGTAAGTTATCACATCAATAATGTAGGCAAGATAAAGATACTGTGACAATTTCTAAAAACACATCAAATGCTCTATAATCACACATTTAATGGAATACAAAATGACTACTGTTATGACAAACTGTTAATTCATGGATCATAGATTCATTCAGGAAAATTGTCAGCTAAACATAATTTTACCCAAGTCCAATTTATGGGCATCTTAATTGTAAAAATCTAATACGAATTAGAAAAGTTGAATTAAATACATTTACTCTATAATGTAACATACAAACATCCTACCTAATTATCTACCTAGATATTGCTTTGGCAATTATCAAATGAGATGATCTAAAGAGTATTTTTTAAAGTAAGATCATTTATTCCTGCCTCAGGAGACAGCGCATTGAAAGGAAAACTATATCTAAGAGTTGCATTCAAGAATATATTATAGATTAAACTAGAGCTGCAAGATTAATCATGATAGTTCAGCAAGCACTTTACATAGTGAATTGAAAGAACTACTTTAGACCAAGGGGGTCACTGAGGGTTTTAAATATGGAACAGCAACAGGTTTGAAACTTTGTGACAAGAACAACTTCCACTGATGCAACTACTTTTACATCAGGGTGATGGCTCAGTCAGTAGAGCATCCGCCTCACAACCGGGAGGTCGTGGGTTCGAACCCTGGCCGCGTCATACCAAAAGACGTTACAATAAGGGATAGAGCAACGTCGAGCTGCCGGGCTCACGATCAATGGGGCAAAAAGAATTTCCATTTTCGGTTTAACTTAATAAAATTTGGAGTGGACTTTAAAAGACTATTATTATTATTACTCTACTAGCTATGGCACTGTAAAGTGCTACATTTACGCAGTAATGTGTAAATGAATTCATAAACAGGAAATCCTCTTAAACAGGTTTCCAACAGGAAACGGCAGTTTATAGACAATACCATGAAAAGATGAGCTACCAATACCATAGGAGCTCTTATGACTACCACTGGTAAGAAACTATAAATCATAGGATAAATGTCAATAATTCTTTTATCAAAGAGAAACATCAGCCAAACATAGAAGAATCAAATCTGAATATCAATGGTCATCACTTATATTGCTACACACTGTAGGTGTAGGCCTACTATCATATGGTAGCTTTAATAGTTAATGAGATTAAATTCTGCCTCTTCTCAGTACTCACAGTACATAATAAAGGGGCTATTGCAATTTTGAAGATACTTTTTACATTTATGGAAAACTGAACCTTTTATACACTTACAATTGTATCGCCAATGTGATTTGGATATGAAGAACTTACATATAAAGCATAGAAATACTGTCAGAATAGTGAACTACCAGTTCCTTTTTACAACTACCCTGGCAGGTGTTACATTTTCGAACCATCCAAATTTAAATACGGTACACTTTCTACTACCAGAAAGACCATCACCCTTCTTAAAATTCAAAATGACTGATGACTTGTAAAGTTTGACAGTATGGAATACTTTTGTATAAATATGAAATAAGAATTAAAACAAAACATTTTTTGTGATAGCTGTCTAAAAACCTTGTTCTTTTCTAAGGGTTAAATAAATATGCCCCTGTTGCTTTTTTTGTGCTGTATTTAACTTTGTGCTCAAATGGCTATCCTAGAGCTACCAGTGTCAAGCATACAAATGCTTTTCGCTGTGAAAAACAAATAATGTGTTGCTTGATTAAAAGTACAGTACAGTTTGACAGCAGTGCTTATGGTCAAGACCTGAAACTTACAAAGACATGGGGGGAGGGGGCATTTCACAAAACTTGTCATCAGTGACAAATGACAGTTTTTGTTATAAGCTACTGAATCCTTTTTGATTGGTTATCAGCAGATTTGTCACTAATTTTTGTCATTTGTCATTGAAAAAAGGTTTTGTGAAACGGGTCCCAGGTAGACCTTTAAGCTTCTGCCAATTGATAAGCATGAAATCTTGGTCCTCTCAAGATCAAGATTAAGATTGTGACCGATATATTGAATACCCCTAAACTCAGAACTCAACTACGGATCAATGCTGGAAATACAGCAGCAACACACGCAAACTTGATTACACTTAAAAACTCTGTCTAACATATACCCTGATTTCTTGATGGGAATGACATTACAGGTTTACTACACATACAAGGAGATGACATGAAAGATGGAGTCAAGGTGCCCATACCTAAATATGTGAGACCCTGACAAGGCTGACATCAACTTCATCACTAAATCCAACAGAAATGTGTTACAATTTATACATGTACAGTAATCTAGCACAACTAATATTCTAATACTTATCTGACGTTGAAGGCATACACTGCAAACAAAGAATTATTACACTGAAGGCAAAAACTGAGTCATATGGAATGCAGAAAAACATAAAAACACACTTCCTCCACAAAGATATTCGAAAATATGAAAGTTGCTCTTCTTTTTACAGAATTTAGTTCAATTTCCTATTGCCTATTCAGCTGAATGAATTCTTTCCTTTTTCTATTATTCGTAATAATCCTTTGCACTTCTGAGTAATTTGGTACTGGACTTTGGCAAGATTGATGGAAAATGGGACAGCAATAGGATGGAGTAAAAACACTCTTCAATACAATTACAAATAATCCCTTGTAATAATTGTACCGATACATATGTATCGGTATATATCAAACTACAAAAGTTTCCGTAAAGCTTATAGCCTGATCTTATTTATTTACAAGGTGGTTTCAGGAGGGAAAGTGACAGTCAATGGATAAGCTGAACTAACAAACACAAATTATTAGCGGAATTTCAGAGTGGAAAAGCTCCACGATATTTGCCTGACCGGATACACCCAACATGGAATGCTCCGTTGAGGAATGGCTAGTGTAGTGACCAGGTACAACAGCAACTTAATTCTCTCAGGAGCATTGAATCCTGACACCGTAAAATAAGCTTGATATCAGGCTACAGGCTTTAGGGAAAGTATAAAAGTAGAGAAATAATTATCGTAACAATAATTTAATGTAAAATTAATCAACTACCATCTCTTGTTACAAAACAATCAGAGTACATGTACAACTTTCAATTACAATGAATTTTCCAAGTTCTCTTTCTTAATATCGTTCTCTCATCTTGTTTAATACTGCTTTTTATTATAACGATATATTGGACAGCCTGTTCGTTCATGACTTTTCAAGCTTAGACTTTGACTTTGTCTTTTTAAGGGGTCTGTGCAAAACCTCATATATCCTTTTAAAGAGTGCTTTGTACTCGGGTGGTCCCGTTTCAAAATGGTTGTCCACCGGACAAGGGGGAGTTTCTTGCTTTGATGACGTGGAAGATGAGGTGGAAGAAGGAGGGCAAGAGCCAGGAAGGCTCATGCTGGAAGCCTTGGTGGGTGAAGAGCTCAAGTCACCTCCGTCCTGGGATGATGCTGAATCTGCCTTACGTCGGAGGCTGTTGGTTCTTGGTTTGCTGGAGGACTCATGGAAGGAGGCACTGCGACTGCGCGTCAGCAGAGTGGTATACTTGTCCATGAGGTTATGGTACTGGGCATCAATCTCACCCAGGAGTGACACACCATCCGATTGAACCAGGTCATGGTTAGGCAGAGGATACTTGGGTTCTTGGCTCAGCTCCTCGGCTATCGGTCTCAAATCTAGACTACTACAACGCTTCAGTTCCCTATCATTCTTTGACTCACTCATCTTCTCCGAGTCATCCGATTTCTCATCACTGCCTAAAGTCATAACACTATCACAGTACTTGCAGACAGTTTCATTCAGGTTGTCCAGTGAACGATAATCTCGCTTGATTTCAAACATCCTTGATTTCACCTGTAGCTCGCGGTTACGATTTTCAAAGGCTTTGTTCTCACGAACAAGAACGGCAAGTTCCGACTCGAGCTCGTCCTTCTTCTGTTCTTTCAGGGCGAGTTCTTGCTTCAGATTGCGATTACTAAGCTGCAGATTACTCAACTCCTCTTCATACAGGCTGTCAACAGATGGTTTCCCCAAGTCATAGCTGTGAGCTCTTCTTAGAGGGAGACCTCCCCAGCCGTTAGTGACCATAGCATCATGAACCCGCTCCAGTCGTCTCCGCTCTCTCAAGCGCTCTCGGTCTGCTGTCCTCAGCTGCTCTATCGTAGATCCCTGGTCATGAACTTGGAGTTCTAGATTTTCAACCGTTTCAGTCATCCTAAAAGAAGAAAGATACAGCAAGAATTAATCATCTGTACTTTTTGATTTCACAATACCCAACCTCAGCCAAAACTTATATTCATTATTTATTTTAGTGATAAAAGGAAATAAGTATGAACCCTTGGCTATATCAAAAGCATATACAGAATATTTTTTATTTTTGTGAAAAATGTAATAAAAATTGGAGCCAGCGCACAGTGGGCCAGGGAGGAACCAAAGTGCGCCAAAACTAAGTTTGGGTGATTTATTTTTTTCAATTTTTTTCTTTCCCAGTTGAAAGGTAATACATAGAGGAATACCTCAGTGAAATATTTAATTCCGGTATGCACAATAAGGGTATACATTTACTACTTCAAACAGCAAAATCCTACAAATTCACAGTTTTAGTGCAAAAGTGACTTATTTTATAAATCTTACAATTCAACATGAAGTTTTTAAGTTATTGATATGAAATTGCTTTCACATATTCCTGATAGTTCATTTCGTTGAATGAATGGGTTAAAATTAACAGAAACACAATCTTCATGATATATTATAGGGTAATTCACTGAAAAATGGACTAATTATCCATGTTTTTTATAAATCCAGAAGAAATGTTTAGATCTCCGCGGTGTACCGCTTAAATTTTAATACCACCATGTTGTCTGATGTCTAAGCTTCAAGTTGATACCAAATTTGGCTGCCCGATCTTGCCCGTTGTTATGTTAGAGCCGATTTCCCTTGCCACATTGCCCCGAAAAATGTGGGTTTTTGGGGGTCCGCGGCTGAATCATGAAGGATTCGTAGTCATAAATCACGGCGCGAGGGGGCGCGTGACACTTGTTCTGACACCGCGGACCAAAATAAACATATTTTCGGGGCAATGTTGCAAGGAAAACGGCTCTAACATAATAACGGGCAGAATCGGGCAGCCAAATTTGGTATCAACTTAAAGCTTAGACATCAGAGAAAATGTTGGTAATATAATTTATGCGAAAATCCCTGGAAATCCAAACATTTCCTCTGGATTTATAAAAAATAAATCCCCAAACATGAGTTTTGGCGCACTTTGGTTCCTCCCTGGCCCACTGTGCAGCGGTGGGATATCTCTTCATGGGATTGTATACACATGTAGGTGGAAAGGATTGGGTGCACTTTTTCCAGCACGTCTTTACTTCCAGTCTATTGCAGGTAAATTCTTATGTCATATTTTTAAAGCAAGAGTCTAATTTCACTCTTCTGAATTCTTATGTTCATTATTCTATCCCTTATTAATCATGTAAACTGTGTTCAACAATTTGGTGCACAAACCACAGTCCCTTTTTCCACACCGGTATAGTAAAATAACGTTTGGTACCCAACTTAATTTTTAAATGATTTTGTGGCCTTGCTTTACAAGGAGCCGTGTTATACACGGTAGCTTAATCCTCTTGCCAAATGGCACCATATTAAGTCCATGTCCACAATGGAAACTTTGGAAATAGGAATGCTATTTTTTTTAATTTAGCTGATGAGTCCTCTCTTGTTGGGAACAATACAGCTGGAAAAAAAGATGGGTAGTTATTTCATACAAACTCCAAAACTAATTAGGTTTTTTAAATTATGGAGTTACAGGATTCAGAAACTGTAGTCACAGAATGAACAAAAGAACAATGTCTATGGAACTTTGGAAATGGTATTTGACTATAAGTCAGAGTGAAATAATGTTGATAATTCAATATCATTTTCTTTTTAAAGTTTTGCTCATGAAACGATTAAAACATTCTTTTCACCTGAGAACCCTCTGCTGTGCAGTCTTGAGGTCATGTTTAAGCTGCTGGTTCTCTGCGTCCAGCTCCTGGGAACTGATATCAAGCTGCTCATAGATGTGGGATTTGGACTCTGTGACATCACGAAGGATGTGAAGCTGCTTCTCCAGGTACTAAACAGATGACAAAAAAAGTATTTCATTTTTTTTTTAAAGGATTGAAATAGTATTAAGATTGAGGATCAAAACAATACAGGGCATATCTCAGTAAACATTTTAATTCCTTTTTCCATTTAAAATGTTAATAATTGTTTTCCTTCTACAGAATTCCAGAGAATGCATTACAACTAATATTCCCATTTCTCTTAGTTAACTTCCCTTTAAAAAATTAATGCCAACAGATTTTAAATGTTCATTCTTTCATCAACGAACCTTGTCATGATCTATATGTACCGTATTTGCCGGCAATAAGGCCGCAGCGCCGTATAGGCCGCACCCCTGATTTTGACATTTCAACAACAACAAAAATTGTCGAAGTTGGGATTTGATCTCTTGGGTACAAATGTTGATGTGACTAAAATCACCGCCTAAGACCGCTCAAAAAAAAAGAAGAAAAAAAAAAAAAAATACGGTATATGAAAACCTGAACAGCTGTCATTGAGAACCTTGCTTTGGTATTACCGGTGGTATTATTTTGTCCTTATGGTTTTAATTCAATGCTACACTATTAACCATTAACTACATTCAAACAGAAAATTTTGTTATCTAACAAATGGATGTTAGTTTAAATAGTGGAATATTTATTCAGAAAGTTCGTTGCTAACTTGCTGTACATGCAAAGATCACTTATCAGTGTTTGCCCCACTTGAAATTACAAGATACCTGTCGTATCACTGGAACCTGTGCAGTGTATTGATAGTTGTATACATTGAATACAAGACAGTTCAATGCTTCCACTGCGATCTTCATATCTTTTACACTGTAGGTATAATTAAGAGTACCTTGTGATAAATCGTTTCTGTCACAATTGAACAATTTCTGTGATGGCAAAAAAAGTTTTAAACATGTTTAAAATTAAAAATACCATCTGTTTGACAAAATTATGATTTACTTCGTAACTGATTGTTTTTATACACTGACAATCAATAGGCCACAGAGACTGTATATGCAATGATATGCGCTAAATCATACTTTATTATCAATCAGAAAATAGAATCCTTTTCTTCTGTCTATTATGACATGCAAATAGTTATAATTCCTGTTTATTTCAAGAGCATTCTATCCATTCTTCAATTACAAATGAACTAAAATGTATTTGAGTTGCTATATACAGTATGCTATTTAAACCATTACATATTTTGTGCTAGCTGTCAGCGATATTACCCCTAATTCCCTGACAAATTAAACATAACTAATGACCCATGAACATACCACGATCTGCATGACTTGCTCTTCATTTTGCTGCTGTGTATCTAGCAGGCTTGCCTCCAGGTCTTTGTTCCTGTCAAGGAGTGTCTTGCCCAGCTCTGCTGCCAGATGAAGGTCTGAGATGACAACAAATAAAGAGTCAATGTTCATTATGATACAATGTCATCATACTGCCTACATCAAAGTGTCACCAATCATGTTATGACTGGATTTGGGAGGAAATTGCAATAGGATTAGATATATTGATTTTTCATAATTTTACTGTTGGGTAATCCTGGGACCCGTTTCACAAAACTTGTCATCAGTGACAAATGACAGATTTTGTTATTAGCTACTGAAATCCTTGCTTCTGATTGGTTATCAGCAGGTTTGTCACTGATTTTTGTCATTTTTCATTGAAAAACGGCTTTGTCGAACGGGTCCCAGTTCTTTGTTCCTCACCCAGCTCTACTGCCAAATCTGAAATAATAATACAAATTTATGACAAAGACAAAGCTACTTTTCAATATGATATTGAATATTGAATAATCCAATATCATCTTCCTATGAAATAATACACAATACTGCACAAATTTGCAGACCACCAAACACTACAACTCAACTGGGACATGGATGTGGTAAGGAATCGCAAAAGGAGATAGGAAGTTTAAAAATTGCAAATTCTATAGCAGTGTACAACTGTACATGTGTATGTACATGTATGGTATTAATAAATAAACTGTACAGAGTAAGGTCCAAAATGATTAAATGAACATCAGTTCATTTTTAATTATGTGTCTATTGTACTTCAAATGCCCTGTCAGTAGCAGACAGGTCATAAGGTGTGCATTTCCCTGAATTCAGCCCCTAAACTCAAGAAATACTATGTCATACATGACGTTTTTTAAAAAAAATCTGTATAGGGGGGGGGGGGGATATTTTGGAGTAAATCAATTGCCAGGAGGTCAATCAACAGTATGCTAAACATACATTAACTTCTTTCTACAGTATAGTCACATGACTTTATAATGGGACAATTTTTATTGTTACCCTTGAGAAATTATCTGTTGAAAGGGCAATCAACTCAGACACGTATACATGTAGAACATATTTAAATTATAAATTCATTAAAAAAAAAAAACAGGAAGACAAACTTAATTTGCTATTGCTTGAGGACTTTGGGACCTGAATACAAATAAAATGAAATTTACAAGTTACAATTTATTTATTATGTTCATTGCAAAATCTGAAGCATGTGCCTGGTGACTAATACCTCAGACTTGGTTAAAAAAGATTCAACAGAAAATGTAAGAAAGCCAAGGATTAGATGACAATAATAGCAAAGGAGCATGATCACAGAAGTTATAAGATATTGACTAATATCACCAGCCAAATACCACCCTGGATCAACGTGATTGTTAGGAGAAGGATGTGTAGTTTCCTTCTATTTCTAGATCTTCTATTTCCTGGAGGATTTGCTGAATAAGCTTGTTCACATTTATCTGTCTGAACCTCCAAACTGATTAAGTATTTTGGAAGTCTACAAGGGTATTTGATAGTCTGACTTCGAGGTCAGGTGATTTATGTTTTATCTGCATAATGTACATGTACATGTCTGTATGTAAATGACACAAAGATTTGCTGAATAAGCTTGTTCACATGTCTGTCTGAAACTAAAAACTGATATAGTATTTTTGGAAGTCTGCAAGTGTCTTTGATAGTCTGAATTTTAAGTTCTAGGTTATTTAATTTTTATCTACAAGTAAATGAAACAAAGAACTTGAACTTGGTGTGGAGTAATGTACATGTAAGGGAAGCCTGCATAATCCTTGGTCAGTAAAAACATGGACAGTTCAAGGTCCAAGTTGTACATATATCTGAGCTGATGACTTCTAAGTTCAGGTCAAGAATTGGCTGGCAATAATACATGTACATGTTATTATTGTTGATTTATTTTCTTTCAAAATGTTACGATTCATACCCATTAAGGTTGATTGTGCCTTGGCTGAAGCCAAAATGCAATGTCTAAAATGACAACAATATCTATGGTACTACTGGCCTAATAGATCTGGTACTTTTTCACTTCCTTGTCCCTTGTTCTGAAGCTACATGTATGGAAGTCACCACCATATGCTTAGTACCTCAGTCAAAACACATTTTGAACACAAAATGGTATTGCCTGTGTGTAAGACTACAATGTACTTTTATCTCCACTGGAATGACTTATCATCCTATTGTATAATCATGGACCTACAGTTTCACATGGGATTCAGAGAGTCTACACAAGGAAATAGAATCAGTAGCAGACACATCCAGACCTGCCAACCTCTGGAGTTCAAAAACTGTATTTGTTAATCCCCAAAATTGTACTTTACTGACAAAAACTGTATAAAAAAAAAATTAAAAAACACGGATCAATACCTCTAATACAGTTCCTACATAACAGGAAGAACTTTTGTTATGGATCATTGATTGAATATGCATGATTTCGTCATGACTGGTGTGTTCGATGATCCAATGAACATCCCCAAATTGCCGATGTGAAATGCTTGTAGAATACTTAATACAGGACAGAAAGGGCATTTTGCCATTAATAATGGCACACACACACCCAAAATACATTGTACCAACAACAAAATGAAAAATTGAAAGAAAAAAAAAATTGTTTCTGGAAAATCGTACTGTCGTATTAACTTCTAAAAATCAGACGAAATATGATTAAATCGTACTGGTTGGCAGGTCTGCACATCATCTATTGGTGTTTGAATGCTTTTATTTTACAAATACATGTAAATGTACACTGAATTGTTTGCATATCAACCGCAGGCATCTTAAAATATGTAATGAATACTACTGAAGTACAGATAATATCATAACAAAAACAATACTTGTGTTTAATACACAAGAGGCAAAGCAACACACTCACACAAAAAAAAAAATAATGAAACACTGTAAACATATACGGTGACAATGCAAACATTTACCGTTGCTCTAGTCTAGATCTCTGCATGTCAATGACACTAAACCACATTAATCATGAATGAATCATGTAAGCACCTTAGTCATGCCATACACAGGTGGGAGGACAGGAACACTTCATTGCAGAGAATAATCTGTTTGTTGCTTACATGTAGTAGATAGAATTAGTGATTCACAAAATTGGCCTTGTTTCACATACATGTACAGGTGTAACTTGCTAATAACAAAATATGCTAAATTTCTATGACAAATATGCTCTATGCCAATCAAATCCAACAATTTGGGTAGCTTATCACAGTTATTGCAACTTGTTATTGATGACAATTTTTTATGAAACAGGCCCTAATGCACATTGCACATTGCACATCAGCTGACATGTAAATAATTTCCATAGGGCCAACATATTCATGTAAAACACTTCTTTTCCAAAATTGTACATTTTATGGGTGAAAAAAGAAAGCAATGGGGTCCAGAAACTAGGATTCAAAGACATTTGGCCTTACATGTACCGGTATGTGTCTGTCTTTAATATAAAATTATCAATTCAGATTTGTCAATTCTACATTTCCTCTAACTTTTAGGATGTTTAATTACTATCAGTATCAGTGCCACTAACATGTACGTTAGGCTACAAATGCAATTCCATAGTATCAACCCATGGATCTTTTTTTAAATACAATGATATGCATTCATATACATGTAATTCAACAAGTGTGTTATTGTTTGTTTTAGGGTGTCAACATCTGTGCTGTCTGCTTCCCTAAGCAGCTATAGTCAGCTGCATTGTAATATGCATGTTCAAATTTGATTAAAAATGGCAAACACGCACAAATCAATAGTGAATACAATAGAAATAATGCCTATACATGTCGGTAGCTGGGAGCAGGTGTAAGTCATGAATATAGAGTGCAAACTGCGTTCAAATGATGTGTACACGGGTAAATGTTGGCATACCCCTCGGTGGCATATTTACATTTTAATATGGAAATAATGGAATGCAAACAAGGTAGCATAATATGATCATGAGTCATACTGCAGAATGATGGGACAAGGGCAAAATGTATTCAGATGGGGAAAACTAAACTTTTGTGTGTGAATGTCATTTACAGGGAATTGTATCTAGATGTAGGCACACATTTAGTTTCCATTGTCATAAAAATGGCGGATGGTTTGCCTATTCTCTCAAGACTAATATTATTAATCTAAGTCATGAAGAGGCACTTAATATTAAAAAGACATGGTCTACAAGTAACAACTCCAAATGACACAATAATCCCAGCTATGCATATTTTTTAAGTATTAGATAGCCTAAAACTTGAAAATTTAGGCATTTAAAAAAAAAAAAATGTTGAACCAATACTTTTCGCTGATAATTTTTGCCGATACCAAAGGTGCGAGGGTGTCGCTTTGATCTTCCGATCCGGCCAAAGCCCAAACTTACAGGGTTACTGCAGAGGGTAATCACTCCTGCAAGGCTGCCACACGCTTTGAAGGACTGGTATAGGCGTATAGCCTACCAGAGCTTGCCTTGGGGGCTATTTTTGTGACACTTTTTGTGTTTGGAGTCAGCAAGTACTTGCTTTGACAGTCATCTTAGAAAACAGAAACTTGTACAATGTGACCAAGCACCACAAATCGCACCGCAAATCACACACCAACAAGTCGCGTGGTGCAACTGATGAACTGGTGGTCAAACTTTACTTTTTATTATTTCCTAAAAGAGAATACATTCTTTGTCATAAAATTCAGGGAAAAAAATAATATTTATTTTTCGGGGGCTACTTTTCAAGCTTGCCTGCATGAATATAACATTCTAAAATTGTTTTGCATTGAACTCTAGACCCCTCTATGCAAATTTATGGGGGCTCTTTTCTGATTTTCGGGGGCTCTTTTGGGCATTTCGGGGGCTAATTCGCCCTGAGCCCCCGTGTATTTTTTTCATAAATTCAAAATAAAACAAAAACAAATTAGTATAAAAAATGGGATTAAGGGAAGTTTTTTGTGGATTTATGTTTGTCTGATCTTTAGGTCGTTGCATTAATTTTAATTTCTTTGTGACCATGGGTACAGGTCTCTATTTCATCTCCTATAACTTAAAAGTAGAGTAAGTTTTTGTATTGATAGTGATACTTGGTCAAAACAAAGAATAGGATGTGCT